AATGATGAGAGGGGGGTTTATGTAGTGTTATCTCACTAGATTAGTGCCAGTTAACTACCCCTTATGTTCCAGAAAGGGATATACCATATCTATATAACATAGATAAACAAGATAGATCCCTACTTGTAGGATATAAAGGCAAAATGGCAATACCGCAAGGATCGGTAATTGGTCCCACACTATGAAATGTACACTCTAATGAAGTATTGAGGATACATGTTCCCTATGATGGTGCAAAATTTATTGGATATGCGGATGATCTAGGAATAGTAGTCACGGCAAAGGATTTAGATGTATTGACGGTCCAAGTCGATCAAGTACTACACACAAAAAACAGAAGCAGTGCTTCTTGTAGCTGGAATAAAAATAAAAAAAGTTGCAGTGGAGGTAGAAGAAATGCTAATTAACAGCCAAGAGAGTCTCAAATATCAAGGTATACATTTAAACCGAAATATGAGAAAGGCGTAGCACAAAAAAGCAACATAAAAAAAAAGAAAAGGCACTAGGAAGCATAATAAAAATATTGCCAAATATATACAAGCGTCGGTACGTAGAAACGCCGGGACGTCGAAAATTATAAGAAAATTTTATTTTTATGATTAATATTACTCCGAGAAAAGAGTTATGTTGTGTGGAGGTTTCGAGTCGAATTCCCATGGGATAATTTTTTATCTTATCTAGTACATGTAAAAGTTAGATTTTGGTTTTATCTAGTGGACATCCTAAATAAAATTTAATGTTTTATGATTCTACAATAAAAAATTTCTAATATCCTGTTAATTAATGGTTCTTACACCATATTTTTGAATTTTACTTTTGTTCTTCTTGGGATGTAGTCGTTGTTTTTGATTTAACGTAAAAATACAGTTCTACTTTATATTTTACAAAACAACACCTTACAAAATAACACTTCAATCCCAAGAATATCAAAAGAAAAAAGAATTAATTATCTAGATAATTTTTTTGTTAAAAAGAAGGAATCTGAATTTAACATGAATGCAATTTTTTCTTTAATAAAATGGAATTCATAAATTGTGAAGTTACCAGGGTGTGGTAGGTCGCAAAAACTTTGATTTTGCTTACTAAGAAGAACATCATTCTTGGATCGGTTTCGTCCTTATTAGGACTCATCAGCTAGAAATAGACATTAGCTGGGTGAATGAAATTAAGAACTCAGAAAGTAGCACCATCTACACTTAGTAAGCAAAATCAAAGCTTGCTAATAGTACACAGTTCAAAAATGAGGTGGATCTAATAGAAACATAATTGTCTGCTGTTTTTGTTTGGATTTAATGCAATGCCTTTTGGGGTATTAACCAAAGAAGTAGTTGTTTTTCGAAAAGAAAGGGTCGATCGTATTTTCTTGTTTTTCTTCAGTTTACGTCTTGGTCACATTTCATTGAGTTTGAAATTATTTTCCTATTTGTAATCTTACACCTACATCTGTATCTTTCAAAAGATTAATGGGATTCATATTTGTCTAATTTTGCATGTCCATTCAGTTATATGTAATTGAAATGCTTAAGAGGCGTAAATTGATGTCAATACTGTTAAAGTTGGTGAAATAGCTGCCAGGATGTTTTCCAATTATTTTTATACAAAAAGGTAGATAATATAAACTATCCATTTAAGAGTTTTTCATTAGAATAAATAGGGATTAAAGAGAGAACTCGCTAAACTTAAAAAATCGCTGTAATTTGATTATATTTGTCTGTTTTTGGTATATGAATGTTTATGCAAGATGGTAGATATTATGAACTATCCATTTTAGAGTTTCTCCTAAGATTTAATTTATGACAATAGGGATAAAAGATAGAACCCTAACTCGCTATAGTAAAAAAAAATCGCTGTAATTTGATTATGCAATTTGATGACGATTTTTCGTATATTTGAATTTTACTATTGTCATTTTTCTTTCAGGTTCCAAGTGAAAGTAGTGTCGGTAACACCAGCAGTACTGCTTCATCTGAAGTGTCTAGGCCCGTATCCTTAACCAGCTTAGGTTCGTGCTCTTCTAGCGGGAGTAGTGGACACAATCAGGCAGGTTCGGCTTACTTAGCATCAGCGGAGAGTCTGGATAGTGATCCCGAACCTACAGGAAGCCAAGGTAAATTTTTTGTATGACAAGTGTTGTAAAATTGCCTCAAAAGAACGGAAATTATCATTAGAATCTTGTTCTTTCTTTTTATAAAAAGCTAGTTTTAAAATGCGATTTAACAAATTTGTCTATATATGCCAGCACGTATATTTTAATTAAGATTTGTCTTTAAAATATATTTTTTCCAAGAACCCTATTGATATATAGAATTTTCGATTTAAGTTAGGTGCTTTAAACATCAGTGTTTTTAAAATACAATGCATTTCCTATAGAGCTATTTTATGCGGGTGATTTCACTGGATAGTTGTCGCATATAATTTCGAATTTTGATTTAACCATTTCACTTTATATAATAAAATTTCTCCTCTTCTACTCAAATAGTTTATTTTCCGACTACGTGTAATTTTACGTAACAGTGCACAGACAATATAAAAAAAGAGACATTTATTTTTATACGAAACGAACTTTGTTTGATTATTATTGAAAAAGTTAGGTTTACCTCCTATTTTTTCATAATTAATAAAAAATAAATTAATTAAATTTTAAGTTTGTCATCTTAAAAACTTGGATTGGAGTCGCGAAAAATAAAAAGTTTGCGTCTTAAAACTTTAACTTATTATGACGACCAAAATTTTCTATTTTGACTCTCCTTTTCATATTGTATAAAAAAAATTCTCCTCGTTTGCCCAATTTTTTTTTCTGTATCTTCATTAGAATCTCATAGGATAACTTTTCTCTGTGTACCTCTTCTATATCTGAAACGTGTGGAGAGTGGGTTAGCCCACCTAAGATGATAGGCACTTTCTAGTTCGTGAGCAAGCCTACAGATTTAATATAGTTGACGACGTAGCCAAGAGGTGCTTCTCTTCTAATAAATAAGAGCGTTGTAGAGGATATGCTCGATGGTCTTATCTTCTTGTTCTCACCCCCTGCAGAGTGCTCTATCATATAGAGATGATTCTGTACCTGGCTATGACCAGTCCAAATGCCTATGATCAGGCGCAAATGATGTCTAATCGTAGTCAAGTATTTATTTGCTGTTATGTTGCTCCCTGGCACTTCTGCAGTTTCTTGTTTCATCCAATCTTTCCTTGAGTTTCACAAGGGAATATTTTTTAATTAGGTCTGTCACTACAAATGTTGTCAGTCCAATATAAGGGCCAGATCCAAAAAGTATTTGGTTGGTTGCCTTCTTGGCTAGTGAATCAGTAAGACGATTACTTTTTATCTTTCTTAAGGTGACCACATTGTTGATGGAAGCTTTATTACATTCTAGTACGTACTAACCCTGAATAATTCGTGGTCTGTTCAGGGTGACTATAGTGCTTGTCTGCTGTCTGAATAGATGAGCATGCTTCTTCCAGTGATTGTTTCTGCTGGTTTCGTTTGCTTCTATGAGAATCCCGCTGAGATCGGTTTTAACTACACTAGCACTTATTGGTCATAGCCCATTTTACGTTTAGGTTTAAGGATCTGGAGTATATTTCTTTGATGTAAATATCAAGGGGAGTGAAACTAAGACATGCTATCCTTTTAAATTATTTTAGTTTGCGGATAGAAGTTAATTTTTAAGTTTTTGGTACCCAGACAACTGCACCATATGTTAACATAAACCACAGATGCGCCCCACGGTTCTGCTCTTTTGACCCTCTTTTCTTTACTTGCATTCTTTCGCAGAATATGTTCTGAAAATTTCCAGTTATCAGAATGACCTGGTCATCTGCAAACACTACTGTGTAGTGACTGTCATTATTAAGGCGGCTGATGAGGGTATCGAGGACCATGTTTCACGGTGATAGCACCTTTACCTGTGGACATCCCCTTGCATCTTATAGAAATGGCTATGTGTTAATAGATCAAAATTTAATGATTTAGAAACTAAGAATTTAAAATAAATAATGAAAGCATTGAATTTCTACAAGACTATAAATACTTGTTTTCCTTTATATCCTACACTTGATTAAAAAAAATCGATTATGAATGAAACAAAATTAGTAGGATTTTTT